AAATAGGACGTCTAAATATGAACACAAAAAATGTGTCCACTGGATGGCAGACAAGATTCTTCTTAAAGGGCTATAGTTTTGAAATGGACTTTATGTTTTGAGGAATGTCATTCCATGCTTTAGTATAAACATAGAAGAAAGACCTCTGGCCGTAACAGTTTTTAAAAGTTGGTAATGTCAGTTGTCCTTTCCTTCTTTTTCTTCTTTTCTTCCTCCTCAGAGGTGTTGTGCATCATTAGAAACAACAAAAGGAGTTAATCAGTCTATCAGGATGTGAGTGTATCTGTTGATTATGGCAGATCAGAGCTGTACTTGGTTAAACTTATCCATCATCACATGCCAAGTCTATCTGTGTTAAAGACATCAAACTCACTGCTAAAGGTTTGTAGTCTGACATTGTTCAACCATTTTTAAAACACGCTGATAAAATGTAGTTCACATTCAAACAAAAAAACTGCCCTTTGCTTCAGTTCTGCCATTACCAGCAGTTTTTTATAAGCTGGTTTTTGTCACACAGTATATCCCAACTGCAGTACCACCCCATTCCAGCAGCGGCAGTGTGCTCTACCTGTCTCCCTTTCTCTTCCTCCTCAAGCTGGCGTCGCAGGGCTTCTATCCTGGCACAGTGGTTGGCATAGAACTCACACAGAGACTGGCATGGCAGCAAAAAGCCAGTGTGGGAGGTAAATAAAAGGAGTAGAAAATATAGGAGGGGTTTATTATGTGAATATAACATGGGGAAAAATGAATGAGAGAATTGCAGATTTAGAAGGCAGAAACAAAAAATATGAACAAGGACAGCCAGCATGAAGAAAAAATTAAAAAATAAGCATTTCAGATGAGAAGGTCCGGTTGGTACAGAGAACAGTGATGAAGAAGGGTGAGGAAGAGGAGGGTGGCGGGAAGGAGAGTCAAAGACTGGTCACATCTCACTGATTTATGCCTCTTTATGAAGGACACTGAAACAAGCAAAAACTGTTCATTTTGTTTGTTTCTCTCAAGTTCTGTTTTCTCTAATCTCTGAGAGATGTTGGCTCCACTAAATAATCCTGATGTCACTTCATTAGATTATCCACCAGAAAATCAGTTTATATCTGCCTCTGTCTGCCTTCCTCTTGGTCTTCATCACTCTCCTCTCCTCCTGGTTGGAACAAGCCACAGCAGTCATCCTGCTCTCTGACCTGTTTTAACCCTAACCCTGGATGTAAGCAGAACAAAAACTGTTCCAGGAGAATAAAAACGTCTCCTAATGTTGAAAACTACATAAAGCAGCTAACTGAGACCGCTTGGTGTTCTTGTAGGCAGCTATCGCTTTCCAAAAACAACAACAGAAACAGCAGCAGAACCACAACACACACACACACACACACACACACACAC